GGAAAGGGTTAGACCCTATGTCAAGTTTTTATTGCTGTCTATGTCCCTGCTGGGGAGATTTACCCTTCTATTTTTGCTGGTGTTACCAAAACAAAACTCCAGGAGAAATCCTAAATTTTTGTAGTCACTAAAACAGGAGGTGAGGATAAGACTTCCAATGGGTGCTCCTGTTTTGGTGACAGCTGTATAAGAGGAAACTTTACTCTTAGGGGTCTATTCACGAAGCAGCCGAAGGATCTAGCTGTAGCTTCGGCCGATCCTTCGGCTAGCTTTGGCCCCAGGACCCCTTCGGTTCAGCAGAACTGAAGGGCTGCTTTATGGGCTATTCACTGTAGCCCGTACAGCTCCCGAACTTGGCCGAGCGGCTCAGTCGAGCCGAACGCATATGCCTCGGCTCGGCTGAGCCACGCTGAAAGCCGAAGCTGGCCGAGCAGCCGACCATTGGCCAGCCTGCTTCTGACAGCTGGCCACGTGAAGCCACCCGATGTACGGCTGATTTCAGCATATATACGGATTAAATCAGCCGTACCAACCTGAAGTGAATAGCTGAACAGCGTTCGGCTCATTTCGCTTTAGGTCGGTCATTCACTCGGCTGCCTACCGCAGCTTAGTGAATGGACCCCTTAGTTCCTGTTGCATCTCCAGGACAAGAAGTAAAGGGAAATCTTTCCAACGGTACACAAACAGCAAAAAATAACCTGACAGAGTTTTGAAATCCTTGCCTTTCTCTATCTACAACAAACAACCAAAAAAATGTAGCTATATATACACTACTCAAAACAAAGAAAACATTAGCTGGGGTTATGCTTTAATTTAAGGGGGTGCTTCAGTATTAGAGATACTTTTTTTCAATGCTGAAAGCCACATGCTACAAAATACCTACACCAGGCTCCTGGCAGCAAGAACAAATGTTTTATTTGTCTCAATAGGAAATCATTAAAAATCACTGGACTCACCAATTCAGAATAGCAAATGGTAAATTGAGATTTTTTTCCCCAATGAATGAAACATAAAGTATAGCAAATGCTTTAAAACCAGCAATTAACATGGAATACATTTACATGTTAATCTATTCTAAGAATAATCTAAGAATATTAATGACAAACTATGCATGGTAAACCTGCAATCCACTTATTCTCAATAGTATCCTTTCTGTTTGCTACTCTGTATTTAGAGGAAAACAATGTGTGATAAGGAAGAAAGGACAAACCAGCAGTAACTTTGTTTTTATTTTATACATTGTAGATTAGTAACCTCTCTTTGTCAATACCCACAGCACCATTTGGAGGAACAGTGCAGTAAAAGAGTCCAGGGCCCATTAATATCATGCACTGCAAAGAAATTCTTTGTACTTTGTACACAGAGGAGCATACAAGTCGGGACAGAACGGCAAGATAAGTGTGGCGATAAAGACGTTTCTGGGGCTCAGCAAAGCATATCCCAAGGAGAACACACTCCAAAGGCTGATGCTTCAGAACCCATGTGGTGATTCCCTTTCATGTGGCCTTGGATGCTCCCTGCTGTCGGCATCCCTATTGGTGACTGTGTAACAACACTATCCATAGGTGTGGTCTCCAAATTGATAGATCATGGTCATACGATTTTAAAATATTAGGTTACTTCATCTTCCTGTAGAAGCGTAGGAGTGAAATGCGTTGAAGAATGGACTGATACATGCACATTTATGATAATTACACCCAAGTGGACTATATATTTGGATATGTGGATGTTTGTGAACATGAGATATGTACACTAGGTCCAGGTGGTACCTTATACATGAGGTACGTTATACATGCCGGTTATTGAACACACAATGAGGCTGTTAATTCTGGATGATTAATGCTTTTATGGAAGTAATTTAATAAAATATGCATGTGTTTTAAATGACAACATCTCCTATTTGGCTGTGGTTTGGACACCTATAAAGCCTCAATTTGATGTTATATTTATTGTGGCTAGTTTATGGGGTGTGGTGTCACATGGTTCGGGAATTTGATGCAGTCTATTTGATTCACTAAAGGCGTAGGGAGCATGGGGGATGTGGGTGTGTTGCTTTCCTGTGTGTGTGTGCGTTTGTGGAGACACATGCCCACGCTCGCCCCCCCCCCCCTTTCCTGCCCTGCCAGGCCTGTGCCTGGTATGACTGTGGGGGGGGGAACCCCACACATTTTTGTTTAACTTGGGGTTCCTCCTAGCTTTCCTACCAGTCCTAAAGGGTCTGGTATGGTTTGGGGGGGGGGACCCCATGCTGTTTTTTTTTACATTTTATTTACTTTCTTTATCAGTAGCGAGCAGAATAATCGAGAATATAACTATGAGAATAGGGTGAACGGCAGCGAGTGAACTGCCGGAGGTTCAGCTGAGCCGATCCAGATGTTGGATCGGCTGAATCGAAGCCACCCGAAGTCAATAGATGTACTGCTCATTTTAGCCTATGTACGGCTTAAATCAGCCATACGGGGCTGAAGTGAAAAGTGGAACGGCGTTCGGCTCAGTTCACTTTGGCTCGGTTATTTACTCGGCTGCCATCGGCAGCTGCTTAGTGAATAACCCCCTGAATCTAAGTAGCATAACCTAGTTCCTGTCCTTAATTACAGTCCCCCTTTACTGTTGAGTTAAGGAGAGGGGGTATTCTGTAGTTTTGAAAAAGACAACAGGACAGGGATGAAACCATTTCTTGAGATTTCAGTCCAGAAAAGCCACTGTGTTGTCAAATTAGAAGCAGAGTGCATTTCTACCAGGATAAACAGTTACTTTTCTCTACTTGCAGAATCTGCATTTTTCTGTATTAAGATCATAGTTAGTGAAGGAGCAAGAAATCAATACATGCATCTGATATTATTTCCTCTTTATATTTTCACACAATCCCAAGCACAGTAGAAGTCAGACAGAGTGGAAAGTTATGCATTGTGAGCGAGTCAGATTCTGATACATTGTGTAGAAACGCTGTAAATCTAACATGTTTTCAGGCAACAAGGATAATGGGAATGGTGATTGGGCAGCTTACACAATTAGTAAAGAATAGGTTCATAGTCCAATAAACATGCAAGTGATACATAGAAAGCTACACAGCTACAATAGTGAATAGAGGAGTTGCCACCATGGCTGTACAAAGTGTGACAGGGATGCGTGAACTATATAACTGGCTCAAAAGAATTACAAATATTTTGGTAGGTAAAAAATGTGTGGACATCTATTTCCATCGTGAAGTGTTTGACTGGAATTCTACTGATGGGTTTATTTATAAAACTTCCGCTATATGCTGGGCGGATGCCATTCGCACAGCACTAGTGCCGCTAGATGGCGCTCAGGAGTATAGGGCATTTCTATACTCTTCAGTGCCATCTAAGGGCCATAGTGCCATGCGAACAGCATCAACACAGCTATACAGTTTTCTAAATTAATCCGTATGACAACTTCTTAGTGAACATTTATTGTGATATTACGCTAGATGGCTGCAAACTTCATCTTTGCATCCCTGCTTCTTCTTAAATAACCTTGTTGCCAATAATAGTTTGGTTATGGCTGAAAATTTCACCGTACATCACAGTAATCATCTCTCCTCATGCAACAAACCTAATCCTTAATGGGACTATATACTAAAATAGACAAGTTTATGTTGCAGGAATTGTTTTCAGGTGCCATTTTCTGAACACAAAAACCCTACAATGGGAGTTGAAAAGTTTTTCTAGATTATATACAGTACAAGAAAGAAAAAAACAAGTGGAAACTAAGAGCGCACTGTATGAAATGCAAGAGCTGCTTTTGTTAACCAAGAAGAAAATGATTTCCTACTTAATGATGAATGGTTGCGTGTCCTGGTTTCAACATTCCAGCAAAAGGGTCTCAGCGGGAGAAATGTGAGGAGGGGGGCGAAATAACTCTATTTTGAAAGTGCGAAGGAATGACAGAAGGGCCAGAAAAGAAAATGTTCTTGTGTGAGAGAGACACATAATACTCCGACAGGAACTACAGTACTGAGCGCTGAGCTAGAAGAGAATTACTGGGATAAAGTAGCACAACGACAGAAAGGAATGCAGCATTTTATGAAATAACTATCTGGGTTATATCATCCAATTTTATTCTAAAACTACTTCATATTTTTGACTATCCATTAAATTTGGCCAGCTTTCAATCTATCTGACTAAAGGTCACATTCTGTTATCTGAATTATGCATTGTTAATACATTATGGTGAAACAGGAGGTGGCTTCCTTTACCCAAAGAACAGAACTACATGGGGGATGGGTAATCTTTTGCAAGTGAGATGGAACCTCTGGCTCCCAAGTCATATTTTATATGGTGTATTTTTTAAGGTCTGCCATATAGTTACTCTATTAATATGTTTTTTACAGGAATTACTATACTTTATGCAGCTCTTTATATGCATCGGTCCCTGCCCTGAAGGAGCTTACAATCTAAGGTAACTCTTGTTACCTTAGATTGTATGCTTCTTTATAAGTTTATGTACTCAGCCCTAAACATATCATATACAGCAAACCAAATGTTAGGTTATAATGCTCACTAAGCCCCACTTCCATTCTATTCATGTATTCCTTGGATCCAATATCGATTCAAGGCTACTCTAAAATAGTTAAGAAAATTCCTTTAGTATATTTATTTAGAATACATTAGATCTGTCATAAAGGTACACATGGAAACAATATAAGAATTATGGAAACAAACATTATTAATAGTTAGTAATGATTTAGGTAAGTGTCATCTTCCCCTCAACACAGCTCAAACAGTGGCCAGAAAGTAAATCAATATTACTATAAATTGTAAGCAGGTGTTGCCTACACATCTAAACAGAAGTTCCTTGTCTGAAATTTAACATGATTTGTTGAATGAGTGGCTTATAGGAAGCCAAGTCCTCCGTAACTGAAAGTGCCAGTATTGGGTTGACTCTAACTCTTAGAACCAGTTTTACAGATCAGAGAGAAGGCAGCAACTCATATAAAATACATCATGAAAAAAGTATTTTACTGTGAAGGGTAATACCTGGGGACACCAGGTGGTGCACGTGATGGGCGAGATGGAATCTGTGGTGGCACGAAAAGTGAATCATTAGCATTTGACAAAGAAGATATGGCTCCTGGACGAGAAGGCACTGGTGGAGCTGCAGGCTGAGAGCTCAGTGACTGCACAACAGCAACAAAACCACGACCTGATAGTGTAGAAGAAGGTCTTGTTGGTGTAGAAAGCTGAGGCATTTTTTTCTGGGCAGGTGGACTTGCAGGTGGAGACCTATAGAAACAGTAGAACAAGTTATACATCTTTCAACTATAATCAGACTATGGAAGCTGACCTATGCTGAACTATCACAGAATAGTAAGTGGGGAGTGAAGTGTGCATCTTCATTACATTTGAAGAACTTCTGGACTATCTAAGACTATCTTTTCTAAGTTGGGTGACATTCTTTTTTCTGTGAAAAAAAGGGGGCAATCATTGGTTACAGAAATCTCCGAACATGTTGGGAAATCTGTATATGTGCGCTCATTATTTAAACTGGTAATATATAGCTGCCCTATATTTTATTAGTGCTACTTCACCTTGGGCAAAGTAAAACATAATTTAAAATTAGAGTAACAATTGCTTAGATTTATTTCACTTGTACTTTTTAAATGCTTTAAAAAGCTTACCGATTGAATACATCAGCCAGAGAAACGTTTAAGAATAATCACCAAAAACACCCTTAAAGTACACCTGTCATATCTTACACATATTCAAGCTAAAATAACATGTAGCTGTGGGCAGTAAAAAGGTTTCTACTACCTTGTTATACTCCTGGACCCTGCTGTAATTTGGTAGCTCAGTTGGCAGATGTCAGCCGGAACTTTGGAGCAAAGAGTAAAAATATGCATATTGTGCATCTTTGATTTGTAAGCAATTGGGGAGCTTAGGAGGTAATAAGTTCCTGCAATTACATATCCTTTTGAACTTTAATATATGTATGCTATGACAGGAGTATGTTAGGTTTTCACCACAATACTCTTTAAATTTAGAGTTTAGGAGATCTAAAAGAAAGATGTTTAGAGGCACCTGTGCACCCCTGCTACCTTGAAGTCTCCTGTAAATTCTAGTGCTTTTGTGTTCCTCATTGTTCTTGCTTCCAAGCTTCCTATGCAATTTCTGTACACCTCCTTGTGACTCGCCTCCCTAGTTCTGAGCATCCTCTGTAAACCCTGTGGACCTCCATAACTCCTTGAGCTTCCTGTAACCCTTACACCCAGTGTTCCTGTGATCCCAGCACCCCAGAGCTCCCAAAGACTCTCACTTGTGTTCCTGTGATTCTATGAGTATACTGTGTGCCAACATGGCCTGTGCTCTTAAAATTCCTCATAGATAAAACAAGATGGATCAACTTTCCAACAACTATTGACAATTAAGGTATATATAGTCCCAGTCTCTAGAAAATCATATATAAACATAGACACGTTCATGTAAATTTAATTTTCAATATTTAAAATCTGAAGCTTTCATTAAAGAGTACTTGGTAATCCTGCCACGTAGGTCCCTGCTCTGGCACTTTCTGTTATAACATGACAACAATTTGACCCTATCTATCAAATACTCTCCTGCATTGTCACCCTATCACATGGGCTTCCAATGGAGACTGCAAGTTTCCACACACATTACATAGATATGGTCCATCAGGAAATCTGCCCTGAGACATGCCATGCAATCATTCCTGGAGTACATATAGAAAGATAGAGACTACACAAAAGCAGAGGTACAGTAGCACTGAGAAGCAACAAAGGATGAAAATAAATATTTTATTAAAAAAAGACAATTGCTTATGGTACAAAGTGCTTTAGCTAACTGTCATTCAGTTAGGATTTATATCTAAGTACTTTAAGAGTCTAATTTTGAGCGGAAATATAATTTAATGTTACAATATTTAATATTACAAAATCTGCTCCTTGGCAGCCACATTACCCAGCAAAGGGAAGTAACCTATGACTTACAAACCTTGCAATTACACTTCACCCATGCAAAAGGTATAGAACTATGTGTATGTTCTTGTACTGTTATGGTGTTAAATGCGTTTTGAAACATAATCTGTACCAGGGAAACTGCATCCACGAATCATCCACAGGAGGTGGCAAGGGAGTAGAAATGGTGGACGTGCTAATATCACCAATAATCTGTAGAGCTTCCTTTAAGGCATGGTACATCCTTAACATTTCATCACGTTTCTGAGCCTGCTCAGCCGACTCCTCCATCAAACTGCTCTGGTCCTCTGAAGAATACAATTGAGCAAGCAGCTCTCTGTGGATAAATGCTTTGACCTGTTGTTAAAATGTAACAAAAATAACATTATTCACACAATGTACTGCATCGGACATTGTTAATAGCACCACACACAGGATTTTTCAGGATCCTTAGAGTGGTGGATTCTGGTTAGCCAGACACCAGGACTTAGGTTTAGTAAAAACTCCTTTACTGAAGAATTTACAGAAGAACATAGGAAAGAACAAAACATAGACAAAAGGCTGTAACAGCAACTCCCAACAGCAATGTAATATTTACAGACCATGTGACCTACCTGACTCTTAATGAAGTCTTTATCCTTTCAGTATTCCTACATGTAGCACAGTAGAGCCTTCTTAAAAAAGAAGGTATTCACGCCTAATTCCATCACATATCCCAAATATAAGCAGATTATTACTCATTTTAAGTGGGCAAAGCAAAGTAAATGATCTATTTTGGCTTTATTGGCTAACTGTACATCAAGCACCACTGAGGCATAGCAAAGATACAGCCTAAAGTCAAACTGCATAAAGCTATTTCAGGTTTGTTGGCCATTATCAATGCAGTGCATAGAAATAATGGCTACTATAGAGTAGGACTTAGTGACCAATGAAAAAGTATAAACCTGATGGGTATAATGAGGAGGGACTAAAGTAACCAAAAATCCCTTCAAAGGACTATTTTGTAGCACAGTAACAAAAATGGTTGTTAAGGTTGAATAAAGACACAAGCCCATTCAACCTGTGCGTGTGTGTGAGTCACTAAAAGTACCTGTACCAGGGGCGTGCGGTCAGGGGAGGCAGGTGAGGCAGAGCCTCACCTAGAATTTTGGAGGAAAAAGCTGTCAGCTTCATGTCTGAAGCTGACAGCTTTTTCTCCATTCAGATCGGCATCTAACAGGTTATACAGCAGGGAAATCCTCCCCGCTGTGTAACCTGTCACGGAGTCTCAGCAGTGAGGACCAAGTGAGGGACAGAGAGGCTCCTCCCTGTCTCCTCCCTCCCTCCTTTACATTAGCTTGGGGATGGAAGATTTCCATGCAATTTTTGAAACTGCGTTTTTAATCGCATTTTAGCTCTGAAACGCAATTAAAAATGCCCAAAAACACCCTGATCACAGCATTTCCAATCTATATGGAAAACGCGCTGATCAGTGTGAAAAAAGTAGCTCAAGCAGCATTTTGGACGGCAGCTGGTCCGGATCGCAATGAGCTGCGCGGCTGCATGAACGGTCCCCATAGGAATGTATGTGATTCTTCATGTCGGCGGTTCAGCAACTGAACCGCCCTGGTGTGAACGGGGACTTACATATAATTTGCTAAAGGTGCTATTTCACTACTGCCCTATTTCATAGTTACATTCTTTACTGTTCCTAGATGAACAGATGAATGCATGCCTTGAGATTATTAATGTTTAAACATTGTATTTCGTCCTCTGTTTAAAACTTTTTTACTTTGTTCTTGGTGGAATGATGAAGTTCTGGCTGTTGTGAGCCACACTTCCTTTTACCTTCTCCTGCATGCTTTCTGCACAAATTTCTTTTTTTGTATCTATTTAGGAGGCAATAACAGTCATTGGCATGTAGTGGATATACAAAGCAATACAGAGAGTATAAAATCCAGAAAGAAAATATGGGAAGTTCAGTTCAATGCTCTAAGTATTAGAAAGAGAGGAAGTGAGGGGAAATCTCTCTAACTGGCACAGAAAGTAATACAAATCTGAGAGAGGATTTAACCATTATTTACTCTATTTAAACTAAGAAGGGTTTTGGATAGAATTCAACTTTAAACAAAGAAATACAGAATTAGGCTAATTATAAGGCACATAGCACAGTACAACATGTTATATTCCTTATTTTTAGCAACCAATCAGTTGTCATATTTCAGTATTCTGAAATATTGAAAAGTAGAGTGCAAGAAATGTCAAGTTTTACTATGCTTATTGTGCTTTGCTATGCTTTGTGATTTACCACAGCCCTGATAAAGGGGAGGGGGGGTTGGTAATATCTGACCCTGGAAATTGATTCTAGTGAACCGAAGGGGTCCTGGGGCCGAAGCTAGCCGAAGGATCGGCCGAAGCTACGGCCAGATCCTTCGGCAGGTTTGTGAATAGACCTCTAAGGCTCCATCCACACATAGCGGTAGCATTTTCCACACAGTTTTTCACGTGGAAAACCATGCGGAACAAAACCGTGCAAACGTTAACCTACGCGGGAAGTCTGCACGTTTGCGGCTGTTACCATAACCAGAACGTGCGTAATCCGCCCATAATATCGTGCTTGGCATATTTTGCGGCCGCAGGAATAGTCTGAACAATGCACATAGCAATGCAAGGTTTTTTTAATGTTTAGCAAGGTTGGTACGGCCGAATACGCGTGGAAAACCGCTCATGTGTGAATGGAACCTAAGGGCAGCCTCCTGCAATGTATTTAATACCAATTTTCAGCACTAAGTGTACACATCCAAACATCGGAGCAAACACTGTCCCTCACCTACGTGAGGCTCTTATCGTTATCTGTGTTTCTGTATGGTAGATTCACTATATATATTTGTCTTGGCGACCATTGCCACCGGAAAAGACAGTGACAGGGAATAAAAATAAAAACTCGGAAAACAGCTGAAAAGAAATCTTTCAATAAGGACATCTGTTCAAGCCTTTAGACAACTTACCCTGTACTTCATATGGTTTCTCTGGGATGGTACACTTACAGGTGAAAAAAACTGAGACGGGTTCTTACCATTCCCTACTCTACCCAAAACCAACAAAAAGTTCTGGCAAACAGTACAAACAGAGATAATAAATATGGTAACTATGAGTTACTCAGCATTGGTCTTTACGTTACAAAATATTTAAACCCAAGAACAAAAATTTTATGGGAGGAATTTCTCAAAACTGAACAGACAAAATCTGGAGCAGATTTGCACTGCAACTAATCAGCTTCTCTGTCTCATTTTTAAATCTTACCAGAGCAAACTGAAGAGAGATGCTGATTGGTTGCCATGCACAGCGGCTCCAGATTTTGTCTGCTCCAGTTTTAATAAATCCCCCCCTATATATTTTAGCTTAACAATTCTTAGCTGTGGTGGCTGCATTCATTTTCATTTTAAAGACTAAGAACATTTTCAGCAAGCACAGAACTTGCCAGAAATGAGGTGTCCTTGTCACTTCCCATGAGCTGAACTAAAAGCACAAACAAAGTTATTTTCCTTCTATAAACTACTAATTCTCAACCGCCCATATAAAGGAGATAAAGAGAAGACATGATTGAAGTCCAACCTGGGTGGCAATCATGGCTCTCTCTGTAGTCAGTAAAGCCAGCCTAGGACAGGAAGTGTGTTATACACAGAATAACCAGGTGAAAGTTAAGGAAAAAATCCTCGAGAAAAGAAAACAAATGCAGCCACCACATCTAAGAGCTGGTAGGCTACAATATATTACATTTTTATTTGTAAATTTATATACGCTTTAATCAAATAAAGGCCATAACATTAAATTCAATGTATTAATTCAGGACAAAAACAATATCATTTATTCCTTACGCACCAGTTATACTAATAACAATAACTTAAAATGAAACATAAACCGGACCCAATTAAGACAATGATCCATTCAAAAAGGCAAAATACTTTTTTAAATCTCTTTCCTTTCACTGAAAGTCCCCTTATAAGAAAAAGAAAAACATGCGCACAATGTTATTCTCTACTCTGTTTGTACTGCACACTTTGTGCGATGTGTCCATTACTCTTTCTTTATCATTCCTTTCATGTACAAGCCAAGAAATATGGAATGATGGCTGTCTGTTTCTATTCAACATTTCTAAATGGTGTTTTTGATGTAACATATCTGGTTTCTTTGTGAAGCTCAAGGTTCACGTGCTGGTGCTTAGTCTGTGTAAGAGTGCATTGCATCTTGAGAGCCAGAACCCTAAGGTCATTTTTCCTCGGATCATCCTTAGTCATACTAGCCTGGACGGGCCACCTTCCTGTAGTCAATCACCTACACTTTTGAGACCCCAATTGACCTAACTATTTGGAAGTATTTTATGCTATTGCAGTGTGCAATTAGCACACATCAAATTCATGCAGACACTTGTTGGTGTAAGTTCTGGATCCATTCAGGAACTATCATTTGTTAAAGAACAACTACGGGTAAAAATTTGCTTAACCACACGCAGTGGGGCTACCCCTGCAATGTAAGGGTTAAAGGAGAATTATGGGGTTAGGGCTTTTCCCCATAGTTCTCCTATGGGTAACAGGAGGACACAAACTAGCGTCTTCCCGTCACCCTAAGCTCAGTATACCGCGAGCTACAGCTCATGGTATACTGAGACGCCGCAGCTGAAACGGATCCTGACAATTATGTCTGGATCCGCCCAGCTGCGTGAGTGACAGCTGGTTCTGCCTATCTAGAGGCAGGGCCAGCAGTACCCGCCCCCTCCCCCATCCGTTTCGCCAGTTAGCGCTGGAGAATCGGAGCGGGGAGAGGGGAATCCAGTCCCTCTCTGCCGTCACACGCTCGAGAAGTTGGCGAACGCCGGTATGTGTTCGCTCACTTCCCGATCTACTGAGCCGACCTGTGACAGTTTCATTGTCACCGGTCGGCTAGAACTATGAGGATGAGTGAAAATCACTCACCTCATAGTTCTCCTTTAAGTGCTCATTTTTGCCTAGGAAGGAAAATAACAAAAGTTATACTCACCCGATCCTCCAAGCCAGCCAGCTGTGACAGTGCTCTCTCCAGCCTCTCTTCTCCTCGGCTGCAGTAATGGTATGTCTCTCAGCGTCCTCACGTCCTATACACTGTGTATAGAATGTGATGACTCAGGGACCTTAGACCACTACAGCGAAGGGGGAGAGAGGCCCCAGGGACTGGTCTAAGAGCAAGCTGTCTCTGAGGATTGGATGGAAAACTTTCTTAATTTTGAACATAGGCAAAAACAAGAACGTAACCCTCGCAGTGCAGGGGTAGCCCCACTGCAAGGATTAAGAAACATTTTACCCAGAATTCTGCTTAAGTACATTTCTTGGACGGAGAATCACATGTATATTATCCATTGAGGGCTTATATAAGATGAGAAATAAAGTCCATTAAAAACAAAGCATTCAAAACATAAAAAATGCTTTCATGTAATAGGGTGACCATCTCTGATGGTTGAATCACTTGTAGGTACCACTCCACCTAAATGTGACTCTTTTCCAGTCCAGATACTAGACTTACGGAAATCCTCATTGCAAAGTGGCCTTTCTTTTTGGAATGAACCATCTACAAGTGAAATATGACTTTGGCTCAAATATAATGGAGCTCTCCAAAACTTACCTCATGTGTTCTGATAGTGGGACATATTTACTGCTATAGCTTATAAGGAGGGTGAGGGAGAGGGCCCTGACACAATGGTGGTGATTTACTAAATGAGTACTGCCTGTTTACAATTTAAAGCAAATGTTAGTGAATGAAGTGAAATGTGTTTACTTTGAATACCGAATCAAGTGCAAGTAAAAAAACAACTTTTTAACTTTCCTTGCACATGATTGGGTAATTTCCGGTTTACCTTCTTCACTAATATTCACATTCATATTGCTAGGTGAATAACCTTTAGTCATTTCGCAAATCAAGCCCTGTGGAAGCGGTTAATCTATTATAATGTATCCTGTAACACTGGGTATACAACTTTATGTAACTGCAAACTTTTTTTTTTTCTAATTGACCAATTTTATACTAGTGAGGTCACACAGATTATCATTGCTGTTTCCTGTAAGACTTTAGGGGTCATTACAAACATGCAAACAAGCATGCATTTTGTTCTGAAAACAGGGGAAAAGATAACAGTAAGAAGCTCTGCCTTGTTAGAATATCCTTGAAAAGCTCCCTGCAAGTCTTCCCATGGAAGAGATTCCTGTATCGTAATCTACAAAGGGAAGTATTTGATAAGATGCAGCCAGTCTCCCTGGCCGTCTTGTGGGAGCTACCTAAAGGCCACCAAGAGCAAAGAGGAAGTACGAGGGCTTTTCTGAGCTTTAATATTGCTATAGAAACCATTTCCTGGGGATTAGCTTCAATCTAGGCTTGACATAGAAAACAACTACTATAGACACATGGCAAGAAGAACAAAAATGTATCTTTAGTGTGAAGCATCTACATATTTATTTTCTATACATTGTATGTGTGTGTACAGTATGTGTATACTGTATATGTATACACAAACACACACACAAATACCTACTACTACTACTGCAGTAGTAGGTATTAGTGTGTTTGTGTATACATATAGTTACATAGTTACATAGGGGTCTATTCACTAAGCTGCCGAGGGAATGACCGATCTGAAGTGAAGTGAGCCGAACACTGTTCGGCTATTCACTTCAGGCTGGTACGATTTCAGCCGTACATCGGCTGAAATCAGCCGTACATCGGCTTGCTTCGCGTGGCTTCGGGTCGGCCGAACATGCTCAGCATGTTCGGCCATAGGAATTTTTTTAATTTTCTTTTTCTATTCTGACATCGATCGTGTCAGAATAAAGAAAAAAAGACACAGCAATGCTTCTCTCCTTGGCGTCCGGGAGCAGGAGACTCCCGGGGGGCGAGGGAGAGTTAGCTGTTTGGAGATCGGTGTGCCTGGTTAGCATGTAACCAGGGACGCTGATCTCTCTGAAAGTGGCCGGAGCCAGATCCTTCGGCAGCTTCGTGAATAGACCCCATAGTATTTGAGGTTGCATAAAGACATAAGTCCATCAAGTCCAACCCATTGCGTGTATGCATTTATGTTTGAGCTGGTGTGTGAGTCCATGTGTGATTTTGCTCTTAGGAGTACTTGTACCCCTGTATACAGTATACACATACTGTACACACACATACACATTGCCTACATAGAATCTGCAACCAAATGACAGAAAACAGTACCATCCTGTACTGCTCAGTGAAATTCAGTAATTTTCTTGAAAATTATAACATTCTTTATTACACTAGCAGCCTGTCAGGATATAAATATGGAAGTTGCCAATGCTGACTGTTCTAATAATGGCTTTAGAACCCAGTGAGTCACATACCTCTTATTGTTAGAACTTGAGACAGAGGCATGCAGTGTTGGCTCAACAACAAAAAGTGGGCCATTGCGCTTAAATTGCAAGTAAACCACTTTGTAACATCTATTGTCCTAATGTGCAAGTATGCTTACCCTAAAAGTGTGCCATTCTCCAGCACAAGTTCCGTGGCAGCTGACAGTGGTATCCTAGCTGCAGAAGATGGTTGAATGCACACTGAAACTGACTCATGCGAAATAATCTGGAAGGGAGGAACATCACCAGCACACCTTGTCCAAAAGTACGTCTTATTTATTGATGCATATTGTTACATATTCAGCGCAACGTTTCAGGGTCACGCGGGGTCATATTGAGCCTGATGAAGGGGACCCTGTGTGCCCCTGAAATGCTGCACTGTATAAAGAAGACGTACTTTTGGACACATTATCAAGGTGTGCTGGTGATGTTCCTGCTTCCTTATGTGATTTATGCGGCGCAATTTGCGGTCACTTCAGCACCCATCTTCTGAAAGAAGGGGAGTCCAGTAAAGAGTGCGTGGCGGGGTCTGTATGTATAATCTATAGAAAGATAGGAAAGTCTTCCAGAACGAATTTAGTTTGCAGCTCTGAGATGTCATGTGGCCAAAAGTGGAGTACCACAAGTGAAGTTGATGCTTCCCTTTGCCAGGTAATGCGATTGCAGGTCTTAAGAGGGAACAGAGAACTATATTATGCTTAGCATCTTTCATTAACCACAGCTCTGACTGAGGTCTGAATAGGAGATATATATCTACACACACATCAGTCTGAGTGAGCTGTATGTGATTCTCAGTCTACATATCCATCTAGTGCATTTCCCTAGCAGACTCCACTTTGCCTTTAATATAAATGCTGCAAAGCACTGCACTCGTTTTTGATGCACATTCACAGTATTTATTCAGGTAAGAACAGTAAATAGGAATGTACAAGAAGTTGCAGGACCTTGAATTTGAGGAAAGGCAGGTATGCCCTAAACTGTCTTCTTGTATGGTCCCATGATTGGTAAATAGGAATGTAAAAGAAGCTGAAGTACTCTGAACTTAAGGAGGGTTGGGGATACCCCCTGAAACTCTCTTCTTGTACATTCCTAAGTACCATTCTTTGTGTCACTTTAGTTCCACAAAAGGAGCAAAGGATATAGGGTATAGCTGGTAAAAATTAAATATTACTGAGTAACTTTAAATTGACATTCATCTTTCACCATGACCACCAATCACTACGGTACTGGAACACAATTTGTGTGGGATACCTTCTTTGTCCCAGAAAACTGTACCTATCATAAAAATGCCAGCTGATTGCCTTTTGTAACCCATGCCAAAAGTTCCCAGTCCTCCCCTGCCCACAGCTCTCATAGCCTCACCAGTACTCTTTATACCATTTTACTGAAGTCACAGATATTACTGCTGGACTCCATGATCAATTGCCATGAAGTATAGGCTTTATCAGTAGGAAATTTGGTTCAGACCACAATGCAGGGTATCTCTCACATATCACTTACACTATTAATCATCAGGTGCATGAGTGTCTTGGGTATCAGATCTCTAATAGATTTGTTTATGATGGCCATATAAGAATCCACCAAGTTACGGATTGTTTCCACTTGCCGTTCCAGCTGCGGATCCATTGAAAGGTTATCTGCTTGTGACACTTCTTCTGTATCTGTCTAAACAGATGAATAACAAATATGAATATGTATGGGATGTATATAGTTACAATAATAGAACTATATAAGCATTACACATTGATATGTACAGCATTTCACAAAGAATGGATCATATTTGATTTAAAAATTCATTTTGTGGGGGAATTTAGCCAAAATAACACAAAATAGGTAATTACTATTATTCCATTTGCTGTTGTCATATTTTAACAAATGCATAAAGTTTATGTCCAGGCAAATTAAAAAAGATATAAAGTACATCTCTGCAATTTATACACATTTCCCCATTTGTCTCTTTAACGCCACTGAAAGTAGAAAAAAAATCCTACTCATCTACAGAGTTCCCGTGACATCTTAATTTCTTGTTCAAGCTAATGTGTTATCAGCTCCGAATGAGTCTCCCTGCCCCACCCTGCTGGACTGCAAGACACCTAATCCCTATTTTAAGGAAATAAGGTAAGGAAGAGGTGTTTTGTGATCCAGCAGGAAATAACTGGAAAGAGGTGACAACATTGCTTGGGTGTTTTAAAGGACATTGTATTGCTAGCACTAACAGGGAGTTATGAATACACTGTATTTCTGGCAGATGAACCAGTATATTTCTGTACTTGCAGCATTTTTAAAGGAATAAAAAAAAGGGAAAAGGTGCATGTTTTGAAGATATGTACTGAATTATATTTTTTTATTGTGCTTAGACTTACACTTTAAAACCAAAAGACTAGGTAAAAATATAGATATAATTTCTCCTGTCTTAGCTGTACTTACATTCTCTGTGTAGTCCAACAATGAGAAGAAAATCAAAGATGAAACAGAAAGGGGAAATAAGAGTAAATGAGGAATGACAGTATATTCAACAAAGCCATCAGTATAACAATAGTAGCCTATATGACAATTATAAGTGTCCAGCAAAGTAAAGTTCACCTCTTGGAAAATGTTTGTAATCTCCTTATATCATCCATCTCACATACTCCTGCCCCATCATCTAGCAATGTGTTTAAAAAAAGCTTCAGAAGCAGTTTTAAACTCAGTTGATTCCTTGTCACGTGTCCCTCGCTGTTGCCTCTTCTTCTGGGAGTGGAGACCAGTAATTCGGCTCTATAGTCTGTGCCCCCCAACAACTGGTCCCCTCTTCTTGGCATCATCACACCAGTCTCCTGGACCCTGAAAAGACCCTGCCGCTGGACAGACAATTACAAGTGTCCATATCCCCAATGCAGTGATATGGGCATTTGAAGAATGATCCGTCCACTCAAAAGTGAGAAAGATAGAAGAATTGGGACCTAGCATGGTATGTGACCAATTCATGCTGGGGTATTTTTATGGTGGTTGAGAAGGATGTAACTTCTTGAATCATACGTTATTGGCACTGACAGCATGGCACTAAAAACTTTCACTAGAGAGAAAAGTGCAAATCTACTGTAACACCTCCTGATAAGGTGACTATACAGTATACATTAATGGATTTGTTTTGGTATGTAAAGGGTTAGTTTAGGAGTTACATTAGGCTAGTGTTAGGATCAAGGATTAGAAATCTTAGTTTACATTTCAGGGTAAAGGTTAGGTTATGCTTTGGGGGAGAAGTGTTAAATATTAGGGTGGGACCTTAATTATAAAGAGTCCGCTTTAGGGTTAAGTGTAACAGCATGGGTTAAGTATTGGGGTGGAATAAGACTTATTATTTTAGTGTTTACAATAATGGTTCAGCTAGGAGGAAGGTTAAGTCCTAGTGGATGTTTTAGCATTACAATATAGGGTCACTTAAAGGAGCTCTAGGATTTAAAAGAGTTTTTGGTCTCAACACCAAAAAATACTAATGTTAAACACCAAAAACTAATATACCCACTACTTCTTGGTCCATGAGGTCCAACCACGACCACTACCATTTATCATTTGTGTGCTCAGATTACATTCTTCGCAGAATAAAACAACACTTCTGTTTCATGCAGGTTGTTTTTCCTGATGTTGGATTAAAATAAATGAAAATAGGACACATTTTATCGAGTTTAGTTACACATTTCCATGTCAGAAAATGGAATAGCAATGATATATAGCAATGGATCTACAGTGAGTTCTCAACCTAATGGTTGATATTGCTATAGTTCTAGAGAGAAAGGACCCTACTTTTGGCAAAACAGCAGGTCTACTTCTTGAAGAATATTGCAAAAATAAATTACATGCAAAAACACTAGGGGGTCTATGAAATCAGCCGTACATCGGCTTGCTTCGCATGGCTTCCGGTCGGCCGAACATGCTCAGCAACAATCCAACATCTGGATCGACTGAGCCGAACCTCCGGCAGGCTACTCACTGATGTTCGGGCTATTCTTAAAGATGCCGAACAGCAGTGAGTGAATAGCCGAATGCCGCTGTTCTGCTCTGTCCCTCAGAGGTACCGAGCAGAACAGAAAAAGAGTGAAAAAAGTAAAAAAAAAGTAAATAGAAAATGATTGTGCGGAGCTAGCAGTGACAGCTAGCTCCGCCCAATAGTTTCCTATTGTCCGGCGGCTCTGCTGCTGTAAAAAAATAAAAATAAAAAATAAAACTCTCCCGGGCGCTCTGGGAGCCTCCCGCTCCCGGCCGCCCAGGAGAGAAACACTGCTGTGTCTTTTTTTCTTTATTCTGACACGAGCGATGTCAGAATAGGAAAAAAATAAAAAATACATTTTCCCATTGAAAAGCATTGCTGATGGACCTGATGGGGAACTGCAGCAGAGGGCAGGTACAATGCTAGTTTACTATTGGCTATTGCAAATTGAAATAGCCAATAGTAATGTCATTCACATCAAAAGCCTTACTGCCTGTATGGATTCAACTGAATCAAGTCAGATTTCTGACTGGCAGTGAGGCGAAGGACAGCGAACTCTATGGGGGGAATTTATCAAAACTGGAGCAGACAATATCTGGAGCAAATTTGCACTGCAGCCAATCAGCATCTCTCTCTCATTTTCAAATCTTACCTGAGCAAACAGAAGAGAGATGCTGATTTGTTGCCATGTGCAACTGCTCCAGATTCTGCTTGCTCTAATTTTGATACATTCCCCCCAATGTATTTTGTACAATTCATGCCAGATCTTTCAGTTCACCCTTGTTATTATTTACTACAGATGCAGTAAAGTTTTTGTACAGGTTGGGCTGCAATTCTATTTTCTACCCTCTCAAAATCTGGACTTGGTACAGAAATCATAGTTAGATCATTTCTCTTTTCTTATCCATCAGCCATAGTTAAGATCAATGGTGCATTTTTTGCATTTTTTCAAACTTGCAATGTGTTTCTTTTTACTTGCAATATTACGTATATTAAGGGCACTGATTTAAGTTCTTATACTCATACTGGGCACATATGTGGATGTTGCAGATGTTTATATTTATATATTATAAAACACGTTGGGAATTCCTTTTCAGTTTCAGTGTAAAGTTTTGTAGATTGGGGGAGATCTCTCATTTTAACATTATTCTCACTTAATCAGAGATTCTGCATATAAATCCGCCTCATTAAGAAGTAGAAGTTAAAAAACCCTCCTAACCATTTGTCTGCAAAGCTGCTTCCTTCAAAAGTATACAGCTGACTTAAGTTTCTGATTTGTTTATCGTCAGCTACTTAGTTCTTCTAAATAAGATTTCCTTTAATCTTATAACAAGGACCCTGCTCCAATTTATATGACATGGTTGTGTTAATATTATTAAAAAGAATATTCTCCAAAGGATATAATATGTTTTTCAGATGAACCCTATTCTACTCTGTAGATCTCACTTTTAATCTCTCAAAACAGTATTACCTAAATTCATATGGAAACAGAGAAAACCAGAAAAAATAAATTCTCACATAAACCTTTTGTCCTTCTATATCTAAAAAAATACTATGAAGCTATTTTTCTTATGACAATATTAAATTGGGCCTTTATTGCGTTACAAAATGTTTGGGTTCAAGTTTAAAACACAACTAAGCAATTGTTCTTTACACCTTGCTAGCTCGTCTCCCCTACACTCCGGCTGGAGGGCTATCCCTCAGCATTCTCACATATAATATAAGGCTATAGGCTCTTCATTGTATGTGATGACATCAGCGGGCCTCCAATGGAGTGGAAGGGGGGGGGAGAGGCTGCAGGTGCCTCTCTTGGAGCCTGCTAGAGAGGGGATCAGGTAAATAAAAGTTATTTAAAACAGGTCCCATTGATGAGCAGTTAACCCATGAGGTATGGGGGTAGCCCCACTACAAGGGAACTTTCTTTCCCCTGGAGATAGCCTTTAAGTCTGTTTTAGATAAATCAGCTTTCAGAAACTGGGCTTTAGCTACTAGCCTATGTTTGGATCATTTTTCTTTGAAGCTGGGGGTTTCTTTCACTTCAAGAAATATGAGTGATATTGGGACTTAGCCTTTAAGTTGAACTCCAGGTAGGTAAATAGCTAAATACACAGTTGAAATAGATGCATGCAAGCTTTTTTTTTATTTGCCAAAGGTTTGTATTTCTATTCATTCAGTCCCAAGATTTAGCCCATCAAAACAACACAGCCAGGTTGGTGGCTCAACTTTTTACTACTGCAGTTAGAGAAGCACACCTAGGTCCTCTTTCCGTCCCAAGTTTGTGATTGGACAGAAAACCTGATTGAATCCTAGTGCTGGCCCTCCCTCTACCAGTATGAGAATTAATTCACAGGGAATTACAAGAGGCTTATATCAAGTCTTGTTCAGGTACTTGGACTAGTCACATTTAAAACTATATTTAAAGGAATATTTATGGATACACAACTACATTAACACAACAGTGTTTCTTAATACTTGCCTTGTGTTCAGTTTAATCTGATTGCTAACCATACGCATATAGGTTTTCAATAAATTTTAATCACATTCAACCAACTTTTGATTGCAGAAACAATCAAACAGATCTACCACCCTCTGTTATATATGCATACTTATATTATAGCCATTATAGTAGGTTGGGGATCATTTGCTGCCTCATATATGCAATACAAAGTTTGTTCAAAGCAGTTGAAATTGCCACGTA